TCCACATACTTTAATACATGCGCGTATTTTGGATATATGTATATATATGTATATATATATTTTTCATGATTTCAATATAAAATATCTATTAAAATACGCGCATGTATTAAAGTATGTGGAAAATTAATAAATCGTTTACACGTACGGTAAATCGTACGTTTTAAATCGTAAATGGAATTCTATTCTGAGTTCTAACGCGAATTGCAGATCATCTGAATCAATCTGAAGTGGCCTTAATGCTGCACGCGTAATTCTATACGATTTTGATAAAATTGCTGCGCTCAGGTTTCACAAGTCGACGGCTAATGTTGAGCAATTTTATATGTATCAGTGACATGATACGTCGTTATTGCAGCACACGATTTGCACATCTGCAACTGCATGTACGTTATACATATGCATGCTGTGCAATCACACTAATTATATGTAACATATATGTCCTGTTAGCTAATACCGGTTTGAAGAGTTTTTCGCTGCAATTAACGGATCTCATCGAATCTGTTGATACGAATGCGATACCCAGTTATGTCGGCGTGAAAAAGTTTCGTGATTCGAAAAAAAAATTCAGCAAGAACTTGAGTAGAATTACCGTTGCATTGCAGCGATTAATCAGATTTTATTAGAGCGAGATTTTTACTCGGAATTGCGTGGAAGTATACAGAATAAATTATTTTGCCACGAATCTGAACTTTTTGCTCCACCGTTTTTACAATCTTTTAATTGCATAATGCATACACACACACACACACACACACACACACACACACACACACNCACACACACACACACACACACACACACACACACACACACACACACACACACACACACATATATAATTTTTCAAGATTTAAGTTTGATAAAAATCCCTTGTGAAATTTAGGGAAAGAGGCTGAGTATTGTTTTTTGCATCATCTTTGCAATAGCTAAATTTTTTTAACGCGACAATTAAATAGCGCTAATTATTATTGCCACGAATTGCGGAAATGATACGTCTTATTATTAGATTTGGTTGTGGAGCTTGCGGTGTGTTTAGATTAGAGTCCAATATAGAGCGATCGATATAGGAGCTAATATCCCATCAAAACATTGTTAATATCACATTTCGTTTAATTTCATTTATTTTCACGCGAAGAAATACAAAAGATTGATTCAAATTCAGTAATTACAGATTAATCTTATATGTAATATGAGATGTTATGTATTTTTTGTGGTTTAACTTTTTCAAATTATTTCTCACAAATTAACGCGAAGATCAGATATTTCTCTGCAATTAATTAATTTAGCCAAGGACACTATTTATTTATCAGAATTTACAGATTCCTAAAAGATAGTGTGCTAATTATAACCGTGCATTATTCGATTCGAGTGCTTGAAGAACTATGCGATAGCTAGACTATCACAGAGTATTATGAGAGTCGAGCTGAACGTAAAATTACCAAGAGTTATTTTTAGTAATTTCTTAATTAAAAAAAAAAAAGAAAAAAATGAATATCCATATTCTTAAGTATATTTTCTTTCAAGTATTACATGTTCTGTTTCAGGTCTCGTACCGTTAGATCCCGTCCAAGAGGCCATGGGCTCCATGGGTCCATGGCACATCGTGATCGCCGTGGCGATTTCCCTCGTCAAATTTCCAGTAGCTTGGCACCAGCTCTCTATTGTATTTCTTGCACCGCCCACTAATTTCTCATGCAGCGCTCCTTTGTCAGCAACTAACGAATCTATGACAATGAAATGCAAGATTGACGTTGGGAATGGCACTATAGAAGAGTGCACTGAATTCAAATACGATAAGCGAGTATTCCGAGAGAGTATCATAACGCAGGTAAATTAGTAATAATTTAATTAAATACACGACTTTCTTGCGTGTGTATTTTTTAATATACGTATTATCACAATTGGTTATATAATGATTATGAGAACAAGAATTTCAATTTAAAATAATAAAAAGGTATTTGTAAATAATTATGTCAATTTTTTTTCAGTGGGATTTAGTATGTAATAGAGAGCAATTGACGAATTTAGCACAATCTTGCACAATGTTCGGTGTGCTCGTTGGTAATTTAATTTTCAGCATAATGGCTGACAGGTATGTTAATTCGAAATCATTATAAAATACGATAATGGCTATATTTTATTTTATAGATTAATATAAAATATATGCGCGTGTGTCTACATTTTATTGAAACTAATAAAATTTACTCATAGAATTGGCCGAAAGAAACCGTTAATGATCGCAGTCGCATTGCAATCGGCGACAGGATTCGCGAGTGCATTCGCACCGTGGTACGAATTGTTCCTGGTACTCAAATTTATTTGCGCCTTAAGTACTGGCGGAACGATGCTCGTCAGTTTCGTTTTACGTAAGTCAAGCGCGCAAACAAAGTCACAATTTTAAAAGTCCAATTTATAAGTTAATGAAACTGAGTTCAACCGGTTGCAGTTATGGAGATTGTCGGAGTCGAATGGCGATCGACTATGTCGGTCCTTTTTCACGTGCCATTTTTAATCGGACACGTAATGAATCCCCTGATATCTTACTTGACGCTTACGTGGTACGGATTCCAAATGGCTATCTCGATACCGTCAATTTTCTTATTATCGTACTACTGGTACGTATATAAATTACATACATATGTTATAAAAAGCGAAATAAGAGCTGTTTTTAAGATTTGCGAAACGTTCGTATTCGAGGAAGCAGTTATTAAGGGAGTTGATGTTTTGCGAAATAGGATTATCCCGGAATCACCGAGGTGGCTGCTAGCTGTGAGCAAATCCAGAAAGGCGGAACGGATCTTGCTGAAGGCTGCCGAGCGAAATAGGATCCCGGTGGAAAATGTGAAGCTAGCGCTTGAAACTCATGAGAATCAGATCCGACAGGGGAGGAACAATGAGAAATATAACATCACGCATTTGTTTAGAACCCCGAATTTAAGATTGAAAACCATATACGTGAGCGTCAACTGGTTCGTCTGCGGCATCTGTTTCTTCGGATTAGCGCAATACATGGGTCATCTCGACGGCAATATATTCATCAACGTCGCAGTTTCTGGTAAAGCTAACATATCGTCGGATCAAACTAAATAATTTCTGTCATCGTGTTGTTACACACTTTACTGTGATTTACAGCCGCCATGGAAATACCTGGAACTATAATAGTGCTGTTTCTGATATCGCGGGTTTCGCGTTTAAAAATTTTGATGGGCGGGAACATCCTGTCCGGCGTGAGTCTGCTTCTGATAACTCTCATAACCAACGCGAACGTCCGGATATTTTTAGCCTCGCTAGGCCTCGTGGGTATGGCTATTAGTTTTCCTACGGTGTACCTGTACAGTTGCGAAGTATTTCCGACTGTCGTGAGAAATATTGGCGTCGGTTTGGGAAGTATCTCTGCCAGAGTAGGAAGTATAATTGCACCGTTCATTGCCACAATGGTAATTTGTGATGTGTATTGAATACGTTATAACTGATGTATCTTACAATGAAATAATTTTATATTAGCGACTAAGAGTCGTATTTCATATGTGTACAAGTAACGAGTTATCGTTTTGAACTTTTACGATTAAAGGTACGTAATAATTTATAGGGCACTATCCAACCTTGGCTGCCTCCGGTAATATTTGGTACAGCGCCGATAATAGGCGCTGCACTCTGTTTATTCTTACCGGAAACAATGAACTGCGAGTTGCCACAGACGATAGAAGACGCCGAAAACTTTGGAAAGTACGAAATTATAGATACTACAAAATATTTCTGTTAGTGTTACAATTTTGTCAATATACAACAAATTTATCTTTTCCAGGAAAAAATCCGAGGAAGAACATTGACTTAATAATAATTGATACGTGACATATGCACTTGTGGTTGCATAATATTTTTCCACAATTAAATATTTCATAGAGCGCAAATTTAGCACGGCACAGCAAGTTCAACCACTCAAGATATCAATATCTGTGTCAATACCTTTTATCAAGTGAGTCTGCAAAAGATTGATATAATTTTTTTCACTTTTTTAACGTATAATCGTGCCTGAAAAAAAGAGAATTTTTATACATAACTTGTACTATTCATCATCATATATGTACACGCTATATAGCACTAAATATTTTATATCACACTGTAAATTTTATATAACAATTATATATTTATTAACATATACATTTGCATTTTATGATAACGTATGATTTTTACAAATGCTCAACAATATTCTTCTTGATGTTAAATTGTTATAAAGACGATATCTCGCGAATGTGCGCTCTGAGATTCAAATATGCAACAAAATTTTATATTGATTCGTTGCTGCACAATGTCTAATCGATATATTTATCTAGTAAAATTCTTATATTACAATTTTGATATAGATAAAGTGTTCTTGTACATAAATATTATAATATAAATTCTATACTTATACTACACAAATATAATTATAATATTAATTATGTAATATTATAATCAAATAATAATAATATTAATTATACAATTAATATTAATATTACTTAATTATTAGAAAATTATATCGTTGTTTTATTGAGGATATTAAAAAGGAATATTGGAAGATTTTATATCGCTCTCCATTAGTGTTCTCGTTTCTAAATAATGGTTACATGCAATTATAAAAAATTCATTTCTTTACAACATTACCCATACAGATCTTATGAGGAATAATTATATATAAAAAATACTAAAAATAATTCGAGATATAACATAATCGCTTGTGTAAAAGTGAATGTGATAGAAATCTTTATACGAGACTTCGTCATTCACAAAAGTTGCGATCCCCTATTTGCAATGCTATACTTACATGAGAAATAAGTAATAAATAGGACCAAATCAGCCTTTTATGAGTTTCATACGCTAGCGTTAGCGTGGGATATTTAGATTTCTTCGTGAACAAAGTACAAAGTTCTAAATAACGTACCGCTGATGTTACGCAACACCGTCTAACTTGTTTGTCCCAAATAAAGTGCTTTATTGGGCAACACATTCACGATGTCGTTAGTTCGTTTATGCACAACGTCGATCATCTTATTGCCATACTTAACGGTGTTACTTAAAGATCCTAGCCAGGAGGACATGAGACTCTTTGAAGGTGTTTTCGAAGGCGTCAAGTTATACGATGTGCCTGAAACATTTTATATATGCGAAATGTAATAATATATATTAGTGCTGTTATCCATTATTAAATAATATAACTTTTGTAAGGAAACTTTATGCGAGCGAGTAAGAAGTGAACGAAATAAAATTCACCTATTAGAAATTTAATGATCGCCTTATTTACGGCATCCGACTTTTCTTGATGCGGAAAATGCTGCGCCTCCGATATAACCTTAACCCTCGACACTTCTACATGTTCGGAACTCTGAATGATGCTCTCTATCGTTACAAAAGGATCCATATTTCCGATTAGAAGCAGCGTTTTGTTATCAATCTGTTCGCCGCTATCTATATTCAGTCTTGTAAATGGAAGGTTGCGATAATAATTAATCGGTCCTGTCCAGTCCTCTACAAAAAAACATTGTTTCGATTTTTTTAATATGATAAACATAAGAGGAGAATAACACGTGACGCAAAGATTATTTTTTATAAGGCTTAAGATTGCTTAAGATTAATTTACCTTTTCTGCTGAAGGCATATTTGTACGCCTCGACGTAGCTCTTCTCTGTGTCAACTTGAGATATTTGAAGATGTTGAAATATATCGTTGATAATAGATAAATCCTCCTTGAGCGCATCTATTTCCGGCAGAAACGGTAATCTGCTGAAATGCATCCACCTAGAAACGCCACATTGTTTGTAATTAAAATACATAAGTATAAAAAATTTTTCATGCATTTAAATAGCACTTTTCAAAGTCCTCGCGAATCTTCGTGAACGCAATTTCGAAGATATACCTACTTTCTATCTAACGCGAAATTTCCTGATACTCTGTTCCAATAAAAATTGGGATGCGGACTCGAAATGGCTATGAATTTGTAAACAAGATCTCCGTGTAGGGCGACCATGTACCATCCCAGAAGTCCTCCCAGGTCGTGGCCGATTATACTACACGTCCTCACGCCGAGAGTCAAAATGAATTGTTTCAACTCGTCTATTAAAATTTCAATTTTGTAAGCTCGCCTATTGAGCGGCTTGTCGCTGTCACCGAATCCCTTTAAATCTATAGCCACTACCCTGAAACAGCATTAAAAACGTCAGTGTGACAACGGTCAATACGTGCGCTAACGTGTACTGCAAAATGCTTTATTTTAATTAAAATATTTTAAAACACATTAAAGTAGAGACTGTATGCGAGCCAACACGAATGATGGCATGTAATAATTTTTTTTTTATTATACACACCATCATCCGTGTTGGCTCGCATATAGCCTTCAATACATTCGATACATTCTCGTGAGCCTACTTCTCCAAATTATTTAAAATATCTTAATTAAAATTATCTTTATTAAAATCTTATTAAAAAATTAATTATAGATTACCAAACGCACCTATAGTGTTCCGCGAGGCACGGGATCTGTTTCCTCCAAGATAACCAGCAATCCGGGAATCCATGTAATAATAATACGAGAGGTTTACTCTTGTCTCCCGCTTCCACATAATGGAATTTAACACCCTGCGTAAAGAAAAGCGTATTAAAAAAAATGGAAAGAAAAATTCTTTTAAGATCAAACATATATTTCTTTAAATTTACAGTGAATTTTATGTAAGAGCTCCCCCTCGCGAGATTTCGTTTCACGGTTCGCTGTGAATACAATAGAGATATGCCGCAATTACGATAAAGCATAATAATACAGCGTTGCATATCGAGAAATGAAATTAATTAAATTACATCAGACTCGTGTATACAAACGCGGCAGTTTTCTTCTTCATGATTAATAATTTTCTCATTAGTGATAGATGGAATTCTCCGTCTGTTTTCCAGACTAAACAATTTGATATCGTCGCAATTTTTCAAATCTCCCGATAAAAAGAGACAGACAATGAACTTGTAGCTGGTGCTTTTCGCAGCACTGCTTAATTGGATTGCATTTGTTGTTCAGCAAAGGCTAATACTCTGCGAAGACGTTCAAAGCGCGCGAAAAAAAATTTGCTGAAAAATATATTGGAATCTCACTGCGAATTATTATAATCTTCATTACAATAATCCACAATTAGGTTCCAATGTATTCTTAAGTTTTCAGTTATGACATACTTTGGATTTTCTTGCAGAAATGAGTGTTCATTAAGGAAAATTATTATATAATATATAGCACATATTAATATTATACAATTACATATTTTATATGTAAATAGTGATTTTCTTAATGCCAATACGTCAATATTTCAGAGAATGAATCTAGAGTTCAAAAAGAATCTAAGAATGAAATGTACAATACAAAAAGTATGCCGGGGTTTTAGGCCTTTATTTTCCAAGTTAAAGAAAATACTGTCACACATCTTGCTGTAACATACATTATACTACATATTATGATTTTAAGATGTGCTATAGTATTAGTAAACATCAGACCACATCAGAGCTAAAGTATAACAAAGAATCCTCCTGTTTACACGTTTCTATTTCACAACTCCATCTTGATACTTGTTATCTGAATTGAAAATTAATTACGTTGAAAAAAAAACAGAGACAAGTCGCATTATCGGTCACAAAAATACCCGTTTATCAATACGTGCAACATGTTTATTCATTGCGCGAGTGTCGCCTGCACTCGATGTCGCAAGATGAGGACGTCGGTCATACGAGTTTAGATACATTGCATTCGATTACATTGCGAAAATTGAATATCGCTGCCAATTCCTCGTCCTTTAGACGGCGCAACAACACGGGCGTATAAACACTTTGATTCTGGCTCGACTGCTCTTATATTAAAGACAGTCTCGAGGGCGAGAACGCGATAACGTTGCGAGATAATCGTGCGATTCAAGAATTATGTAATAACTATACTATTTACAATCTAGCAAGATAAGTATAGAATACGTAAAAAATTTTTTCTTCACGAAGAGATCTATTCATTCTTTAGAAAATATCTGATATTTTCACCAAGCGCTCGCGTGTTTCCGGGAACAATCTCGGATCCGTGGACGAGCGCAAAGGCGCGAACGATTTCTCTCGATCCCTATATCGCGTTGTCATCGGTGGCGTTTAAGTCAAGGGTCACACCCACGCGCATAGCAATGCACCGCGATGCTCTCACCTTGATTTTCACGTAGGAATGCGTGCCGAGGCTGTTGTCGACCAGGCACGGCGGCGGCTGGTCCCGCTGCCGTAGCATGAAGAACTTTTTAGGGTCCCATATCCATTTGAGGAACCGTCGGGCTATCAGATACAGACCGTAGACGAAGGACAGGACATGCAGCTCGATCGTCTCGCGCGTTGAGGCGCGCACGATCTTGTCATCCGCGACGACCATAATCGCGCGCGACACACGTGAGGGTGATCTCGGATGATCCGCGCGCAGCGCAGCTCGATCGCGAGACACGACGCCACTCGAAATTCTCTCTCCGTTAATCCCCCTGTGCAAACGATCGCGGGCTCGAGTGGCCGTGTGCGGAGCTTCGCAGGCGGCCGACACGTGCGCGTCGTCACGCGGGCTAAGCAGAGTGTGTGAGATCACGTTCCCGGTCACACTCGGCGAACAGCAGCCAAGAGTCGCCGTCGCCGATCGTATATTCTATACTCGAGGACGAGAGTCAGCTCGCACACACGCGCGGTGAGAGCGCGATTATCAGAATTTTTTTCGACAGCCGTACGCGACCGTCGAATACGATGTATATGACGGCCTCGACTTTGAGACACGGTCTCCGCGATCACTTTTCAGTTTTACCGAGTACACAGCGCGCTTCTATAGTTTAATAGGTACAAACAGCTCCGATATCTCGGGGAGAGGAGGGGAGATCGCGATATACGTGTAGTGCTGTATTAGAGGTAGCGATCACTCGAAAGACACGATATTACTGATATGCCGATATTAACACGGATATTCACGGATCACGCGTCGATCGATGCTTTTGTACACATCACGCATTCTCGCCGAATGATGCAACGAATCTGAAATCTCTCCGCAGATCGGTATCTGGGCGTCTCGCGAAGTTCGCCAGCGGCGTCCGGACGGTGTAAGGCCGTTCCACGACTGCGTAGAGGATATATCACTGATCGGACTTTTTGTGCGTTTGCGAGCTCAGAGGCCACGAGACAACGAGGTACTTCCTTATCGGATCTCCTCGAAAAGCGTATCCGAAAGCCGTTTTATCTGTCTGGCGACGGACGTACTCTGGGATTTTTGAACTAAAGATCTTTTTTTTTTTTTTTTTAACTAAATTGATTCTTTCCGGCTTCGATTTCGCTGATATTTAATTCAGCTTCGATATTCCGCAGCGAAAGCGGAATGAAAAAAAACGAGCAAGGAATAGAAAATTATTAAACTACAGCAGATCATCTTTGATTAAAAGAGCTTTTTCAGAATGACAAGACTGGAGCGAGGAAGGTGTGAGACTTCGCGATGTACTAAAAAAATTTAACTTTTACAAAAAGAATACATATCTCATTTTACTCCAATTAATTCGATTCTCATATCTACTGATATAATTTTATTTATTCTCGGAATATTCTCTATTCGTACGTGGAAAAAAATATGAATCAATAATTATACGAAAATTTCACTGAATCCATAAGAATCAATAATTCTACGAAGATTTTACTTTAAAGATTTTAATTATTTTTTTTTATCGCAGAGGTGCAATTAGCGATTCGGACTAAAAAGAAATTAGTCTCGTATAAATTAGATGAGATGGTACAACAAATATAAAAAAAATCCTAAATAAATCTCAGAAACTTTGTCATTCCAAATCATTTCCTCGCCTCCGTCGAAAATTCTTTCTCTCGCCTCTTTACGAGGAAAGAGACGGAATGAGCTTCGGATTGTCAGCTGTTGAACTGTGGACCCGTACCCGCGCTATCTCATTTTTAACTCATTCTACCTACGGTGTGACGTGCATGGTATAGCGCGACACTGTCGCGACGACAGTATTTATCTGTTTTCGAAGTAACGATTACGCATCACGCACGGCCCGATCGAACAGTCATCGTAAATGCCACGCGTTTGGGAACTGAATAATCGGCGGCACGCTATCTCGCAATTCACAATCAGATCGCCCGTATCTTATCTCCCCGTCTACAGACGTCGCCGAACGAACGATTTTTTTTTTATACTACGACGCAGAAAAAATAGAGACCACGTAATCCCGTTATTTAAATCCGCTTATCTCTGCAGCTTGTGCATGTGTGAAATGCTCCGTTTTACCGACGCGGTCGGTACGCAGGCTTGATAAGAGCAGAGCGATCATTTATCGACGACGAATAATATAATTGATATAATATAGTAAAACCATTATGTATCAATAATTCGTCGCAATTAACTCGATACCGTAATGAAGTCGAGGCGAGACAGCGAGATGTTCCTTCTGCCACGAGTGTAAAAAGAAAAAAAAAAAAAAGATTTCGGTACTCGCGCAAAAAGATTGGCAGCGGTGGGATTCGAACCCACGCCTCCGAAGAGACTGGTGCCTTAAACCAGCGCCTTAGACCGCTCGGCCACGCTACCACTCGCCAAACCTCTCTCTCGCAGTCGTATTTTCCTAGATAGACACGGGGTCACTCACACATCGACGCGTAAACTCGAGCCTGTCAAGGCATACACATTAAAATAAATGCATACATGGTTTGCTATGTAATACATAACATCACTTCACGCGTTGAGAATGCGTGCCCACTAATGATCCCATATGTATCCATTATTTTATACTAAAATATTCAAGAGTCGAATGCGACAATGAAATAAATTCATTTTCTATTTTAAACATAAAATTATTTACATAAAATGGAGACGCTAATTATATGAACTTGTGTCCCACTCCTCTAAATACATTCTCTTTTGTAAAATTGTATCCATTTTTCCTCGTCGATATATGTATATACATTTCAATCATAATATTACGGAATGTCTGCGTCGATTGTGGAATTCGCGAGTCTACGTGAGAAATAATTTCAAAGATGATTCGTAAATAATCTCCAATTGTTGAGGAACGATCGAACAATTCTATTCCTCTCATTTGGTCGCAAATTAGAAATGATTTGAAACTGAATGGCAATCATGTTATCGGTTTGTCGGTCGCATACAGTAGGCAGTAGCGTAATGAATGTTTCAAATGCCTCCGACAAGGAAGATTTAACATTTCTTTTTTTTTTTTCCGATCGTTCGCTTCATTTCTACGGGTTTTCACGATGAAATAAGTGATGTCTGGCGTGCACATGCTAGCAAAACTGAATTGCAAAACAGAACAAACGATATAACGTCTCTCTTTTCGAAAGTCATATCTTTGCGAAAAAATATACAATCAAGTTTTTACTCTCTACATTTTAATTTCTACACGTATCATCTATAGAAAAATATTTTCAATGGGCACTCTCTCGCGAGAGTAATACAGGTATGAATTCCCAACAGTTACAACTACACCACTGCTATCGTGGGCGTAGATATCACATGGATTAAACAAAGACTGTCGTCGGGCGGGGCTTTCGATCGGCGCGCGTCGCGCATGCGTCCGTCGGCCCGACGGCGGAATTTCGACCCGCGTCACGTCGACGTAAACCCCACGGCGCGGCGCGGCGCGCGACGTGCGTGTGCGTGTATTTATGTACAGGGAGTGTTTCGTTACGCGCCTCGTCCGCGCGCTCGCTCGCACGCTCGCGCGCGCGAGAGAGAGAGAGAGAGAGAGAGAGAGAGAAAGACGAATGCGTCCCCATTTTCTGTTTTTTTTTCCTCCTTCCGTCCGCGCGCCGCGTCGGCCATTTTGCCGTGACCGGCTTAATATGCGCCGCTCATTTTCTCCGCTCGCGCCCGCCTGTAACTCTATATCCGCGCGACGAGGCGCAATTGTCGCCCGCCGCGCACCGCTTCTTTGTCGCCAGCTAGCTCACGCTGCGATCGTAACCGGGGTAGGCCTCCCTCCCTCCCTCCCCCGCCCCGACGACGCGGCGGGGACCCAGGAGTCGCGCCCGGTGTGCCGGCCGTGCCGGGCCGGCTCTCTCGTTCTCGCGGATTAGTCATCGAACGGCGGGCGCGATCGACGATCCGCACGCATGCACGCCACTGTCGGCGACAGGTGGCCCTCACAAATTGAAAATTAATCCAATCAGATCGCGCGCGCGCGCGCTCGCCCTCGCGCGTCTCTCTGTCTCGCTGTTTGGATGGACACAGAGTGCGAATGCGTATAGGGTTTCTCTCCACGATCTGCACGGTGCGGAATACCCCTCGCGGCCCTGAATTCCATTCACCGCGTTTATATACCGATTGCCGCGAAACGCCGCGGCGTTTAGGATTAGGTCGAAATCGAAATCGATTAACGTTTTCTCTTAAAACACGCGCGCGAAACGCGACGACTTCGTTTCACATCAGCGGGGGCTTATCATCGATTATGGGCTTAACGCGGATCATATAGGATTGCCAATAATAAATGTAATAATACAGCCGCGAACGCGGAGAGACCAGTAAACTTTGGGGGATTGCTCTTGCGTGAAGAAAGAAAGCAATTCTTTACGCAAGAACAATCTCCCTTCAATCGACACCTTCCGATTAGTAGATTATCGCGTCGAGATTTTATACATCCAGCCGGTGGAGCCGCGTATCTCCAATTTATAGGATTCGAACTCTATTAAGGCCTTCCAGCTCTACATAAGTTCAGCCTCGCTCTCCTCTCCTCCCGCCTTCTGCATCTTGGAAATTGTATTTTACGCGTGCCGAACAAGATGCCATTCGTTCGGGCTTTGTATTTCGCAGCGACGGTGATTAACCGCAATGCGCTGATTAACCGCGACGCGTCTGCAACGACGACGACAAAGTCGAACGCGTCGCGGAGCGCGACGTGCAGCCGAACGGAACGGATCGGAGCCGAGCGGAGCAGAGTGAAGCGGAAAGGAACGCGGGGGGAGGGGGGGGGGGAGGGAACGTCCTCGCGCCGAATTAATCATTTCAACAGCTGCTACGTCGCATTAGCGGCAGCGGATAAGACAAATGAACGTCGTGGAGCTTGTTAAGACGTAATCCGAGAGATGTGTCTGCGCCACCTCCCGCTTCCACCTCCGTCACCCTCCTCCTCCTCGTCGTCGCCGTCGCACATCCGCCGTCGTCTCTCTCATCCGGGATTAGACGCTCCTATACCACGGGCAACTATTTTCTCCGGCGATCCCCCTCTGTTTATCAGCTACCTAGGGGCTCTACTTTCATCGCCGTCTTTCAGACAGCTCGTCGTATTTCGCTTCCCGACAACGCATTATAGATATAACAATCATGCTCTGTTAATCGTATTTAATGATCTAAGCTCGGATTATTGCGCCCGCCCTCTTTTTCAAGACAAAAGAAATTAATGACCGATATAGGCTTGAATATATTATCACAGCAATTTGTTAGACACTTTTTTTTAAAGCACGATCTTGTTTTTATACAATTCTATCGATCCGTTATGTATTGAGGTGAACAATTTAGCAAAATACATATTTATATATGCGCTGCAATATAAAAAACGCGCATGATAATTTTTGATAATTTATATATATCATAAATTGTAAATCTCAAAAGTTAAATTATTACAGCGATGCAATATATGTATGTTTGTGCTTTCAGTAAAAATAGGAAGAGAGAAAGAGTGAGATTTTTGTGATATTTTCTTTCTCTCTTTTTTCTCGATTGTCAAAGGATGACCGTATCGTCGAAACGCGCAGATAGGATCGTTCGGATTGTCCCGGTTGGGGTGGACGTCGAGAAACGTGACGTTTCGCGTTTCGTGCTTGATTCGTAGCGTCTCCGATGACAGATAGTGTCAATGCGGGTACCATCGGTAGACCGCTGCGTGTGAATCACGCTGTGCGATCTTCACCTGGCTCGCGACGACAATGCGAGATACGATTGCGCCGCGAAATATATTCCTCGTCCAATCTTTTCATGCTTAACCAGAGAAATATACCAAGCTTGAAAAGAAGATATCTCAGAATCAGTGATGGACTTTTATCACGTTCGCGTTTGTATTCCATAAGTCTATTTCACACTTTCGTACTATATCTTCAATATTAAAAATTGTTATTAGCAAATTGAAGCTTACTAAAAAAAAAAAGAATTATAACATTGTGAAATAAAGGAGTCTCTAAATAACTGTAATTATTCCAAAATTAATGTCAAATAAATGATAAGCTAATATTTTGAAAGATGCACGGAAAGAACAATTTTGCTGAATCCAGATCTGAAAATAATTTTTCAATAATCAAAATAATTTTGTGTGAAAATCAAAATAATTGCTAGAATATCAAAACGTTTTATAGTATTACTTATCAGTTTTAACATTCCAACAAATTATTTTGATGATTTAATAAAAAATTATTTTTAGATCTGTTTTTAGCAAAATTTTTAGACCTTTCAACAAAATCAGTTCTTTCCGTGTGTTTTAAGAAATCAGTCTATTTGCATTTTATATTATATAAAATAAATTAATTAATGAATATAATTATAATTTAAATATTAATTAAATGTATATTAATTTAAATGAATATAATTTATATAAAATAAATATTATATAAAATAAGTTAATATTTGAGAAGATTTATTAACTGCAATCAGCTATTTGTATTTCTCAGAGGAAATGGAAGTCGTCAATTTCTGTTAAAAGTCTTCCAAAATATCAGCTTATCATTTATTTAACATTAATTTTAGAATATATATATGTATATTATATCTTCTTAGTCCTTTTAATCGTATATCTGCGTAAAAGTGTAAATAATGCATATCGCAGAAATATGAGGAGAAATCACTATGCTCTGACAAGAATAGTAGGACTGAGAGAGTCCTTTTAAACTCTTGTCAGAACTTAGTGACCCCTCATCGTATTTCTGCGATGTGCGCTATTTACAATTTACATGGGAGATATACATGGGATCTACTGTTTAACGCCAGTTCCGAACAGCCTTAACTTATAATTAGAGGCGTTCTCATGACAAGATACACTCTCAAGGTAGGCTCAAGATATTAGCCTCTTGATGGTAGTTTGCCATTGCCTTTCGAAAGGTATATCGTGTAAACGTCTGATATTTATGGTCGGATTTTAACTCGGGTCTTTGGCACAGAAAGCAGACGCACAACTCTCTGAGCCAC